CCTCTTGAGGAATCAATCGGGTTTCATCCCCGTCCCCATCTTCTTCTCCTTTCCGGTTCTCCTGACCCTTATGTACTTGAGGAATCTTTCATTTCATTTGTAATATATTTTTGCTCATTTTTCAATTTTTAATTCTCGGGATATTTTTACGGTACATTTGGTTTAACATGTATATTGATCAAAATTTTTTCTGTGCCATTGTAAGTTCTTTTCGCCTTGTTTTATCCTGTTGCCTGGATCTTTTTTCAAATTATTATTATTATTATTATTATTACTAGGTATATATGGATTGTTAAAGCTGGAGGACTGAGAATTGAATTATATCGAGGGGGGGCATCGCACAGCCACACCTCCTTGGTCACTACCCAGAAAGCATGCCCATTAATGGCTAGATATTTCTATACCTACGAAGGATAGTCGGGTAATTCAATTCCATTCTCACTGACAAGATTATTCCCTATAACGCACATCTTCAGCTGGTTCCTTGCATTCAAGCAATCCACTCCGATTTGCGATTATTGTGAACCATGGCTCTGGACTCTGCTCTGATTCAAGGATTTCCTGCTCAGTTCATGGATATGGGCGATTTTAATTCACATTAATTTTAATTTTTATTTATTTATTTATTTTGAAAGGATATGGTTTGGTTCGTATTTGCGGTTGGCGTTGAGGCTGTTGCCTCAATGATGGAGGACTTCAATCACTCACATATTGATTGGAAGTGTGTGTTTGACAAGAGAAAGAATAGTTTGTATTTTGTCCTTATTTGTACCAGAACAGCCGGCCTGTCGCAGCGGAGAGCGACAAGAAGAGGTCATAACTAGTTGACATGGAAGATTTTTTGGGGGATTGAGATTGGGCATAGCTATTGTGGGGCTCTATAGTTCCAAGTGTAGGATATCTCCTAACTATCTACCTAGGTTTTTTAAGTATAGAGTCGTCTGCCAGCTGAATTGGATATGAATGGTACTCTGGAGAACACCCGGCAGAGTGCACAGCTGCAAAACTGCACGCAGTGTATACGGGAGGACGGAGTAAAACAGCCCGTTGTGCTTCCTTTATCCATGCTGAATAACATCAACGCAGCCAGGCGAGCCATGGAAAGGAATCCATGGACTGCGGGGTGGAGCCGACCGTGTTATCTCCCAGTTAACTAACTAGTTAACGTAATTGATAAGCAAGTTGGCCACATAAGCGAGTCGGCCACTTTCCTCCCCACTGTACAACAAGAATGCCTTCAAAATCTCAACTATAAAGAAAAACTAGCAAATTACATTATAAATTATTTCCTATATGCTTAGAGCATGTACAGGCAGTATGCTCAATAATCTCACATACACTACACTGTGGTGCTGCACATTTTTGTAGTCATGACTCAGCAGTCTCAACTACCCTCTGCTCTCATTCATTGATCCTTTGTACATGATTTAAGTCTTCTTCAATCCTCAAAGCACCCTCTTGAGCTACATACATATGGCCTCTTTCTCATTTCTTCTTTTGTTTGACATTTGCAGTCCTTAACTTTCTGTTTTCAGCTGCTAGAATAGCAGCATTGTGCATTGTCATTTAACACTCTTTGACCAGCTGACTTAGAGCATGATTGATTGGACTAAGTGAGCTTTGTATACAGTGCTTGATATATCTTTTAACTTTCTCAGCCTGCTGCTTCAATTGATGTATATTATGTGGTGTGGCTGTGGCCCAGAAGGCTTGAGAGCTGTAGAAGATTTCTGGGAGGGTGAGAGTATATATTATAATATTAAGCCATAAAGAATCTGCTCAGGATTGTATGAAATTAGCTCAGAAATCTTAAAGCTGCTTTTGATGTTGCTCTCAGTCAGGGCCTGCATCTGAGCTGTAGGATAGAGATTTAAAAACTTCTTCTTGTCAATATGATTGATCTCAAATCACATCTGATTTTCTATCTGCTATCTGTATGTAGTTTTCAAGTGTGAGAAGTAGCTAACATTCAATGGCTGAAGAAGATAAAAGGAATATAGTGACATATAGAGGACAATGATCTGATTCTCAGTATAAAATTGATCAAATTCAGCTAAGACATGACTTCAATATCAGTTTAGAATCAACAGTCAATATTTGTCTTTCATACATAGTAGAGTCTTCTTGTTGAATATCTCTTTCAGTTAGTATAAGCTCAGCTGATCAGTGATTCAGTCATTCTCACTGACTTCAATCATTCAGTCACATGATAGTCCTTCTGTCTTGTTTCAGCAGAATTGATATATTTTTTCTTTGAGAATAATCATCATATGCAAGGCTCAGTCAGTTACATTGACTTCAGCAATAACAGTCACTCATTTCTGACCTTCAGACTGTACAAGTTTAAGATTCTCAGCTCTTTCAGATTCAGTCATCACTCTGACAGTTTCAATTACACTTATCTGAAATCTAGTCTCATCAAAGTTGTAGATATTATTTTTCAGAATTCTATACTTCACAATAGTATTTTGTACAAGTCTAAATCACTTATGAATAATCTTAAGATCTTCACATAAGGTTTACTGATGATCATACTTGCATGAGAACTTGAATTTTAGCTCATTATGATGCTTGACAAAGTTTTGTACTCAGCATTCACTTACTGTGAGTGGGGAATTGAATTCTCAACTGGCAAGAAGAAAGTTGATCATTTCTCATACAGCTGCAATTTAGAAAAGTTGACCTCATTCATTCATGGTCAAAATTCATTGAACAAGAGATTCTTTCTCTATAAGACTAAGTTTTCAGTTCTTTGAAGAAGTGTTAATGTGTACTGTATGACTATGTACTCAATCATTTAGAATGAAATATGGAATATCATACAGCTTTGCTGCAGCTCATATACTTGAAATTTGATCATTTTTAAATATTTGAATGACTAAAAGAAGTCTTCCTTTCTGAGTAGAAACTTTATTTCTTTATGTGATTGATATTTTTGATGATAAAGATGTTACTTTGAGATGAGATGAAAAGTGGTTGACTTGTTTATGTGACTAACTCACTTCCCAATTATGTTAATGTAATCAATCACTTAGTGAGACAGATCATCTACTGAGATAGATCTCCATCATTCAACATCTTTGTAGTATAATATTACCACAATTAAATAGTAAAACTAGCTAATTACATTAAAAATTATTCCTCATATACTAGGAGCATGTATGAATAGTATGTTCTATAATGTCACATTCACTACACTGTGATACTGCTCACTTTTATGATTACTCATCAGACTACTCTATCACTTTTTTTTTTACTTTATTGTATCTTTGTACATAATTTACTCTTTTTTGAACAGTTAATCCTTCTTTCTGACTTATGTATGTATGATATCTCTCACATTTTCTCTTTTGTTTAGCATTTGCAGTCTTTAATGCCTTGTTTTCTACTGTCAGAATAGTAGCACTATGCATAGTCATCTGACATCCATTGACTAGCTGTTCCAGAGCTTGATTGATTGAACTGAATGAGCTCTGTATATAACACTTGAGATACTTCTTGATCTTCTTACTCTGAAGCTCCAGTTGTCATACATTATGAGATGTGACAGTAGCTCAGGAGGCCTAGAACTATATAAAGTTCCTGGGGGTGTTAGTATATATATCTGAATATTAAAGTGGGAAAGAACCTGCTCTAGATTATATAGAGCTAGTTCTATAGCTTTAAATCCACTCTGAACATTCTTTTCACTCAGAGCTGCTGTACAAACAGAAGAATATATGATCAAGAACTCATTCTTATCAATGTGATTGATATCAAATCTCATTCTCTTCTCAATCTTTTTCCTATATACTTGCTTCAAAGGGGAGAAACAAGCAACATCTAAAGACTGCAAGAGATAAGAAGAATGAACTAACATGTAAAGGAGAATGATCAAGTTCTGAGTGCAAAACTGATTAAATTCAAGCTCATTATGACTGCTATATCCGTCTAGAATCAAGAGTCAATATTGACCAATCATATGAGCTTAAGTATGTTTATTGAACATCTCTTTAAGTCAGATCAATCCCAGCTTATCAGTTGTCTATTCATTTTCACTGGTTTCAATCCTCTAGTTATATGGTAGCCCATTCTCAAACCGAGAAACTTGATGCAACTTCCTCTTGAGGATAATCATTGAAGACAGTGACTAGTTGGTTGAATTGACACTCTCAACAATAGTGACTCATTCTGTATTTCCAGGCTATATAAGCTTCAGATGGAAAGTCTTCTCTGACCCAGTAATCACCTTGGCTGTTCCAATAACTCTCATCTGAAACCCAGTCTTATTAAAGTTATATATATCCTCTTGTATGATGTCATATTTCTGAATAGTGTTCTGTACGAGCTTGAACCATTCTTGAATAATCTTAGGATCTTCACATAGGGCTCATTGATGGTCATACAATCAAGAGAATCAGGTTTTTAACTCAGAGTGGCAGTCAATAAATCATTTAACTCAGCATTTACCAACAGTTTCTGAGTTTGTAGAGTTGTCTCAATTGGCAAGAAGGAGGTTGGCTGTTTCTCATACAGTGCTCACTCAGGGGGGCTGGCCACATTCATCCATGGAGATTATCCACTGAACAAGAGATAATTCCTCAATAGAGGTCAATTTTTGATTTCTTAACTGAGAGTTCTCTCACATTGTATGGCTATGAAGTTGATAGCAAAGAGTGAAATGAGAGATATTGTACAATCTGGCAGCAACTCTAGAACTAGAAATTTGACCTTTTTTAATTGCTTCAATGGCTAGAATAAGTCTTTCTTCCTTGTATGAAGGATTGTCATCTTTGGTTGCTGACATTTTGATCAATTGAGTAGTTGAACGCGTCGCGTAGTGAGACCTGTCTCGGTAGGTGATCTGTCTCGCTAGGTGATTGATTACGTTAACTGGACTGTCTTAGTAATAAGTTAATAATGTGGGTGGCTGGGCTGACTGGCTGCAAGCGGGGCAAATTGCAGGCGCAGGCGCATGCCCGGAAACAGTGAGACGAGACTGACTGCTTGCAAGCAGCCGGCTAGACTCCAGACGGGGTTAGTTTATGTGGGGGAACAAATGCTGTAACTCCCGTAGAAGAAGCATGGTCCAGAGGGCCGGCTGGTGTTTGCCATTTGGTGGAACGTGGTGGGGTTGTGGTGGGACATTGTCGGTACTTGGCCAATTGCGGATATACGGTGGTAAAGGCTGGTAACTTGGCGGTACCTGGGAAGCCGAGCGCTCCCGCAAATCTGCTACATCTCTAATAGTCACGTTGCTTTTCCTCCTCCCTCTTTTCTGGCTTGCTTCTCTCTTCCTCTGCTTCCTCTCCATCAGCAGCAGTCTCTGGACTGCTTCAATGCCCTTCTCTCTCTGCCTTTTCCTACTTCAGCCTTCGGATCCCTACTCTTCCTTTCTTCTATACCAGCATACAACCCGACTGACAGCTCTTTGAGCTTTATCCGCCCTCCGTCATCCTCCATCCTCCCTTCCCTCCACAAAATTATCCGCATATACCGACGTCGCCAAAACACGATCTTGTCTCTCAGCTACTCTACCTCTAATACCACTGTCTAGACTTTCTTTTTCGATCTATAGGTTGCTCTAGCTCATTTCTCATCTCCATGTAACTGATCTGGAAAAAAAAAGGAAAAAAAAAAGAAAAAAGAAAAAAAGAAAAAGAAAAAAAAAAACCCCGTAAAAACCATATACATGCATGCATCTTAACCTACCAGGTACCTGCGACGCATCCCACGATTAACCCGCCTACGCGATGGGCTCCTCGCTCTACAGCGACATCCATAAACCCAAAACCGGTCTTGCCATTGTCCTGCCCCCCAACCAAACTCAACCCCAATACTCATACCCATCGCCATCACCATCGCCATATCCATACCCGCAATTCTTCCACACCGATCCCGCCTGTTCCACCTTCATCTCCGCCGCCATGAACATCAACGGCTCCATCACCACCCGCCACTCGCTTCCGTTCAAATCCTCCTCCTCTACTGCTGCTGCCTCCAACTCTTCTTCTACAGTTCCAGATTCTACCTCCAAACTCTCCCGCAACCCAGCTTTCCCATCGTCTTCCTCCTCCTTTCCCCCCTCCCCCTCCTCCTGCACACCACTCATGATGAACCCTTCGCGCAAACGGTCGCTTGACGACTACACCTCCGTATTCGACGACCAGATCCACGATAGCGGCATTGGCTCTTCTACCACCACCTCCAGCGCATCCACGGCCGTCGACGAATACCAGTCCGGATCCTGGTACGAAAACAACTCATCGCAACAACCTCCTAACCACAGATCCTTAAATAGCAGCAGGCCATGCCTACCCAGCCGCAAATCGCAACGCCTAGACATCTCCGCCACAGCAACAGCGACAATGCAAACAGAACTGCACTCCTCTCCCCAATCTTCCCCTTCAACCACCACCGCCAACATCAACAACCCCATCCAAAATGGCTACACCCCGCGCCTCCTAAATCGCCAAACTTCCTCCTCCTCCCTCCATCCCGCCCACACCAATCACCCAAATCACCACGAAGAACCAACCCTGGACCTAGACCCCATCACCCACCTCCTAGGAATAAGCTGGCAGCGCGTCACACGCACAGACTCCGACGTCGCCGCTGCCCTAAGAGGTTGGGAGCGCTATATCGAAAATCACTACCGTGGCTATGGAATCGGTGAGCACGTGGAGATCCTGTTGACGCATAAGGGTCTTGGGGCGTTTTTGGTCGTGGGGACGTCTACGGTTTCTGCATCGAGGCTGTCATCATCGAAGGGCGCTGTGGTAAACACCTTCCATCACAATCATAATGACGTAAGCTGTGTAAACGGTGTAAGCGACGTGACGACAACGCGCTTCTACCTCTTCACGGAAGATTTATCTGAAGCGCGCCTCGTCGGCGGGGATTGGGAGGAGTGCTTGCATAATTTGCGCATGGTGCCTGTGCGGTATGTGGAGGGGTCGGAGGTGTTGAGGGCTGCGGAGAGGTCGGGTGAGAGGGATAGGGATGGGGATGTAGAAGTTGAGGCGGAGAGGGAGAAGGAGAGGGGTGATAAGGGGATGCTTGTTAGGTGTCTGAAGGGTCGTCATGATGTTGGCCGTGGTCGGGAGGAGGTGGGGTGGAATGGGAATGGGAATCGGTGTGGAAGTGAAGGTGGGGATGCGCGGGGGATGGATATGGATATGGGGATGGGGATGGATATTGATTAAGGGGTGGTAACGGTGTTGGTAGGGGGTGTTGGGATAGAGGTAAAAAATAATAAAAAAACAAAAAAGGGATTCGGTTTGTACGACGTTTATCGACTTTGACAATCGACAATCAACACTCGACAACCACGGTTGAATATATGCGCCCCCATGTATTTTTCGCATCGTCGAGATTCATTCAACTAACAAACAAATCAACCAGGTCGGATAGTATGTTTTTATATGTTTTTCCCCGCTACTTTAAGTCCCAGTTCATCTTTTCTTTCGTATGTGCTATAAGTTCTTTTAGTTTATGGTTTATGCAATATTTTTTTTTCTTTGATTTTACTGCTGCCCTGTTCATGCTTTGCTTTCTTTCTCTTTCATTTTCTCCCTTTGCCTACTTCACCTCTTCTTTTCCCTTGTATGTGTTTGATGTACTATTTCGCCATGGTTTCTATTCTGCTTCTTGCTGTATTATTTGTTTCTTCTTTCCTTTCTCTCTTTTTCTTTCTCTTTTCTATTTAACCTTTGTCTATTTATTACTGTCACTGTTAACGCCTATCCCCCAAGGAAAAAGTATAAGATATGAATCAGAAATGATAAGTCTATCTAACTTAAGTCTTTTCTCATTTTTTTGCTTTCTTTCTTCTTTACTCTTCACTTTTTCATTGTATGAATGTTGGTTTTACTACTTTTTTTAATGATATTGGGGACAGAAACTATGAAGAGAATGAGAGGGAAAAACCAGTCAAAAATTCAAAGATAAAAAAAATAATTGAGAAAGTTTCTATTGAATGAAATATTCAGACTCTCGATCATAATAAAGATTACAACATAATAATTTCCAATGATACATCTATTAATAAAAATAAAAATTCATCAGAAGCGTCAAGTTACCTTTTTTTTTTTAAATAAACCGAGCACAAGGTGCCAAATATGCGTTCTGCCCCTTCAAAGAGGAACTTAATATTTTTGTTTTATTCGAGAGGTTAGAACAATTTGAAACTGGTTTATCTGTAGTAGGTGAATATGAAGATGCTTCAACTTCTTCAAGTACATCCTTTGTAGCCGCACCCGCAAGTTACGAAATTCATGTTGTTGACGTCTTCAGCATACCAGCAGCCCTTAAGCCGCGTCGAATGGCTCGAATCGTGCCTGCAAATTTCCAATTATCTAGAAGCTTGTTATATTGTACTGGCCATACGCAACTCTGCATAGCAGACAACCAGCTAGCTACCTAAAATCCGCCTCGCATGTCCCCCCACCATTTCCAACCAGGTGGATCTAAAATCTAATAATAATCATACCCGTCATCATAATAATCATCATCACTAACTCCGCCATAGTAATTCCCAGCAAACGCCTCGTCGACATGATCGTCCTCTTCCTCTTCTTCGTCGTCCATGTCTTCATCTTCCAAATCTTCTTCCACGTCTTCTCCATTGGTCTGATCCAGTTCCGTGCCAGGGATGTAGCCAGGGATGTAGCCTAGGATTTCTTCGTTGGGGTTTGTGGGTGGCGGTGTTGGGTGTGCAGGTTCTTGTGCTTGGGATTGTTGTGGTTTTGTACGTGCAGAGACAGATGTTGACGATGCAGAAGTGGGTTTCACTGTCGTAGCTTGATGGGGGGTTCCAGTAAAAATACCACCCATCTTCCCGCCCTTAACAACCCTCTCTCTCACCGGTCCCCTAACACCAGATACAGACACCCCGCCCGCAAAACTCCGCTCTGAAAACACACTGCCAGAACGACTTCTCCCCCTCTCCCTATCCCCATCCTTCCCAATCCCAATCCCAATCCCAATTCCAATCCTACTACTCCCATCGCTATCCCTCCTTTTAACCTTCCCCGTCTCATCATCCTCATACATCTCCTCCAACAACCGATAATTAATCTTCTTACTAAATCCTCTCTTCTCCAACATCCTCCTCGTCGCCTCCGCTGGAGTCGAAGCCCTTGTCCCACCCCCCTCTCCTTCCCCACCCTCCCCATTCCCCTCACCCAAATACCCTACATCTCCCATCCTCCCTTTTCTTCTCTTCCGCGGTCGATTAGCTACGCGCCGTCCATTAACTAGCTCCTCCTCCTCGGCCAGCGCACGTTTGAGAGCCTTAGCTTGCTGCGTGCGCAGATAGTCCTTATTCTCATGGACCCAGATGCGTTCTTTTATTTCGACTTCAGCTGGGGAGAGGAGGCAGTACTTTACTTCGGGGTCGGAGTCGAATTCGCTTTCGTGAATGTCGGGGCTGGAGGATACGGTTTTGGGCGGGTTGGCTGCGGTAGCGTTGTTTGTGGTGGTGTTGGTTGTGGGGGCGAGGAGGTTGGAGCCTAGGAGTTCTTGCATTTCGGATTCCAGGGCGGATTCGGAGGCTAGTTCGGATTCAGTTGGGGGTGGGGGGCGGAAGTTTTTGGCGCCTTTTGGTCGACCGCGTTTGGCTTTCGATTCTGAGATGTCGTTCGCATTATCCTTGTTGGCTGATAGGGTGGGATCGATGGGTATGTCCGGTATGGAGAAGCCGTCTGCATCTACCTGTCTTGGTTTCGGGGGCGAAGGCGTTGGTTCAGGGGTATTTTCGTCGTTCCCATCCTCGTCACTTTCCATTTCTGCAACGGTTGCCGCTGCTTTTCTCTTTGTTGCTTCTTTCAATTTACCCTGAGTGAAGGAAGGTGGGTCATGGGCAGTCTCCAGCTGGACGGAGCGGAATTGGTCAACGGTGAGTTCACCGCTTTCCGTTGCTTTAAACTCATTCAGTCGTTGATGGATTGTCAACTCTGTTACTTTAACAACGTACACGACCTCCCGAACGGTTCGACGGAAGTTGTTCATGCGGGCTGCTAGGATCAAAGCCGCACCACAGATACCTGCCGGACGTCGTCCTGTAATCATCCAGTCACGGTTCATTCGCTGCACGATTCGCACCGCCTCGCTTGCAACCTGCATCATTGAGGTACCGAATTCGAGCTGTTTCGCAAACCGGTATATCAAGCTTTCTGGGTCGATGGGGTTCATGATGAAGACGTTTCCGCCAAGACGTAGTTCGTCAAGCAATGCTTTGTATGCACGTCCGAGTTTAAACACATTAATCTGCAAGACGAAGATTAGATTTTATTAATCTGAGAAAATATACATGGTGCCATGCACATACCATCAGCACATCAGCAAAGTCAATCAACATTACTGTGTTCCCATCCTGCCGTCGACAGGCGATGTACAAACAGACGGCAGCAACCGTCTTCGTACGACGACCTTGGATGAAATTTAATCCCACTGCAAGCTTGAAAACCTGACCAGCCGCCTTGGTGGCACTTTCTGGGACATTCAAGGCTCGAGAGAGCTGGGCAATATAGCGATTTCCTAAAATATGTACAGTTCGCTTACAGTCAGCAACTAGGCGTAGATTATGACTCAGGGGTAATCGTTCAGGAACAAAAAGAAAAGCTTATAACTAACCATTTTGCTCCGTGATCTCTCTACTCTCCATCCCACCACCTCGCTGAAATCCCGGTCCTCCGCTGCGTCCATGGCTCTGATCCGCTCCGACAAAGGTGCCCTGAACAATCGCAGCACCGGATGCAGATTCACCGAAGGTGATTTCGGAGACGATGTTTGATTCGCTGACGACAGTACCACAGCCAGAACAGACCTTCATGCCATCATCCTCGACGATGTTGGGGGCGGGACAGCCTGGGTTCGGACAGGTGGGGGGCTTGGGATACGTGGTGGCCGTTTTCTGTGGGCGGGGGATTGGGGTGGGATTGGGATTCCGGAGACTGGCGAGGCGCTGGACGGGAGTCCGAATTCCAACACCTGGAGCCCGAGGGAAGCGGGTAGGAGGCCGTATGCTTGCCATGGAGGGAACCCGGCGGACTTTTATCGTGTATGTAGATCTGGACAAGGGATTGGTTATTGATGTTTTCCTTAGGAAGCTGGCTAGTAGGGCGGGGTGAGAATTTATGTAGGAGAGGTGCTCACGGGTTCCGGGGACGACGGATAAAACAGTCTGTCTATGCCTGAATCATCTAATAAATTTTTTAGTATGGATATAGATATGGGATATACAGAGTTATCATACCTAGGAAGCTAGGAGCATGGATGATGGTGGTTGTTGGATATTTGAAGGGAATGCGCAAGGATGGCGACGGAGCTGGGAGAGGATCAGCCGAAGTTTGGCTGACACGGCGTGGTGCAGCGGCTAACACTCAATAGGGCACAGTAAGCGACAGCGGGAGTGACTAAGCATTTTTACGTCAGCTTGACAACGGGAACTCCCCAAGTTCGATCCGCGGTAGGAGCAGAGAGCAAGAGCGGGAATCCGGGGTTGAAAAGGCAGTGAGACGAACCACCGAACATTGACAACATACACCCATTGTTTCATTATCTTCTCGCATTTAGGTTCAGACGAGATTCATGTTTTGTACCATGCTTCAACGACTAAAAGCTATGGCCCTCGTTGAAAGGTCTCTGAATCACCCCCCTCGACCACTGTTATTACCCTCCATGGGAGGACGACTGACCAGCATTCTGTGATTGAACTGGTACGATGGATTGAGTGGAAAACAGCCGGGATATCACGTTAATGGGTATCGGTTTGCGGTTACCGTAAGCTGTTTTGTTATCCTCAGATGATTCGATCCTAGCTAGACTTTTCAGATCTACCGAACGGCATCCATTTTTGGACTGCGACTGAGGGTTCGCCAGCTGGACGAATCGCCACAAGAGCTAAATGCCCAAGAACCGCTAAGGTACCGAATAGCTGGCCAATATAACAAAGGGGTACTTAGATTCTACGCAACCCGGATTTTCTCCATCCAAACCCTCGACGTCATCATGAATTATTCCATCTCCAGATCGTTTCTTGTTTATTTATCCCCCACACCTGCTCCCTGTCTGACATGCTGGACAAACAACCCCTCCCATTGCTTTTCGTATTTAATTCCTTCAATGAACTGGTTTGGGGATTCTCTCCCTTTCGTCCGTATTCGTTGCGTTTCTCTTGCTCGCGCATGGCTGCGCGATTTGTGCGTAATTGATAAAACAGATATCATTTCTTCGCACAATTCACTCACCACCGCCACTCAAGCACCAATCTCTCACAAGACTAATATAGTGGGGGTTATTTAAGTATATATTCGGGTGTGCTTCTGTTTTCCAGTTTCAAGAGTTATCACTCAAAAATATTTTCCCTCCTCCCCTTTCGAGTCCTCAACAAGTTACACCTGAAGTATGATCATTGTTTCATTTCTTCGACAGGAGAATTGCACTTTTCTATCTATCCTTACCTAGGCCCTTTTACAATTTTAAACTCTTCCCAGCAATCCGTTCCCCCGCACATTTCTCCAGAATCAGACGGTGAAGGGGCATTTTCTTGGGATACTATTATTCCGACGAAAATATAATTTATTTTCAGGCCTTGCTACAAAAAGAACGGAAGAAAAAGTTCTAGCATACTATAGCTTTCCATCTCGTGTCACTTTAATCATCTTTAAAGCCTGGAACACATGGCAGAGAAGGCACAGGTTCAAGCCCCCCAAAGGGCCGCCCATCGCTCAACTCCTCCTGATACCCCTGGGTCACCCAAAACAATAACAACCGTCCTCCTCGTTAATAACATCCACTGTACCTCCTGCGTGGCATACGCGAGAGAAGTTCTATTCGGGATACCGCATGTCTTCAGCGTTGACGTTTCAATTCTCACCCAAGAAGTCCACGTCCGCCACAGCCAACATGTATCGTCCACTGATCTTGTACGGGGCCTCACTGACGCCGCCTTCGAGATCTGTCATGCAGACTCTCGAGATGAGTCTGGCAACAAAATAAGTGACATAGACGTTTCCTGGCCTGCGAGTCGATGGATAGACCGTCGGATTTGGAGCCCTGGCTCGCATGCTGACAAGGCTGCCGGGAGCAGGAAGAGGGCCCATATAGAAAATTGCGATGCTTGTCGGCTGGAAGAGCAGAGTAAATATACAGGAGGTGATACGAAGAGGTTGTCGAGTCTCTCGCAGCCTGAGGTGGTGGAAGGAAAATTAGGTTTGGGTATTAGCAACGCCAAGAAGCAAGGGGATGTGGAAACGCAAGAATTCTCGAACAAACAATACAGTGATATCGATGTTGAGAAAGGTCTCGTTCCTTCTACGGAGGAATATGATGCATACATCAGCATATCTGGAATGTCCTGTGCATCATGTGTTGGCACGTTGACGACCGCCATTAAACAGCTTGATTTCGTGAAATCCGTCAACATAGCTCTTCTGACACACAGCGCGACTCTCACAATGTTGGGTCCTAGGGAGAATATCGGCAAGGTTCTGGGTTTGATTGATGACCTTGGATTCGAAGGAACTCTTGAAAACATTTCTGAGAAGTTGCCTAGGACTTCCCAGGGCGTATTTGTTGCCACTGCCAGCATCGTCGGGATGACATGTGGCTCTTGCGTGGGCACGATAACTCGCGGAATTCAAGAGCTCCCTTTTGTTAAAAATGTTGCTGTCGATCTTCTGGGTGCTAGCGGGAAGATTGAATTCGAGGGACTTGAAAGACTTGGTGACGTTATACAGGCGGTCAAGGATCTCGGATATGATATCGCAGTTACTGAGTGTCTGCCCCTTAATGGTGATGAAACTCAAAAGAACAACAATACCCCACTGAAACGAACGGTTGCGATTAAAGTCGATGGAATGTTTTGCCATCACTGCCCTGAAAAAATTTTGAATGCCTTAGAATCTATGGAAGATGAATCACTCTCAGTGGATGAAAATCTTGACCTTAAAAAGCCAGTTGTGACGGTCACATACAAACCCGACCCCCCCTCGATGACCGTTCGAAGTATCATTGCAGCCATAGAATCTGCGAATCCCGCTTTCAAGGCCACTGTTTACCACCCACCAACTATCGAGGACCGCTCACGTGCGATGCAGCTTCTCGAAAGACGGCGACTCCTCTCACGCTTGCTATTCACATTCATCGCCGCTATTCCCACATTCTTTATAGGCATCGTCTGGATGTCCCTGGTGCCGCCAACCAACGAAATTAGAAAGTTCTTCTACCAACCTATATGGGCTGGGACGGTATCGCGTTTGGAATGGGCGTTGTTCATCATTACCACGCCCGTTATGTTTTACGGTGCCGATGTTTTCCATGTCCGTGCTTTTAAGGAGGTTAGAGCCTTGTGGAGACCTAGTAGCAGAGTGCCTATTCTGCGAAGGTTTTACCGGTTTGGAAGTATGAACTTGCTCATTTCTGCAGGCACGTCTGTGGCTTACTTTGCATCTCTCGCTGTGTTGGCTGTCGGAGCCAGGTCGCAGGGACACCAAAGCCACATGTCGACATACTTTGATACCGTCGTTTTTCTCACAATGTTCATTCTTGCTGGCAGGGCCTTGGAAGCGTACAGCAAAGCTAAGACTGGCGATGCTGTTTCTATGTTGGGTAAACTTCGTCCTTCTGAGGCCCTTTTGGTCGTTGATTCCCCTGCTCCAGGTCCAGGGGATTCTCCCTGCAACAACATCCAACGCGTCAGCGTAGACCTTTTGGAAGTCGGGGACATTGTCAATATACCTCATGGCGCATCCCCTCCAGCAGACGGGATTGTAACCAGTCCAGGTTCGTATAAGTTTGACCAGAGCTCATTAACAGGAGAGTCGAAACCTGTTGCAAAGGATGCGGGAGATAAAGTGTATTCGGGATCTGTGAATGTTGGGCAACCGGTATATATTCGGGTATCCGACATTGGCAGCACGTCGATGCTCGATCAAATCGTTACTGTTGTTCGAGAGGGGCTGACGAAACGCGCACCCGTGGAAGGAATAGCGGATATTATGACTAGCTATTTTGTCCCAGTAATCACACTTCTCGCTATCATGACTTTCGTGATCTGGCTCGGCTTGGGACTCACGGGTCGTCTTCCGGATGATTACCTTGATTCAGCCCAGGGTGGATGGCCTTTTTGGGCTTTGAAATTCGCAATCGCAGTTTTTGTGGTTGCTTGTCCATGCGGCTTGGCTTTGGCGGCCCCCACTGCTCTTTTTGTTGGAGGTGGTCTTGCTGCCAAGCGAGGAATTCTTGTTAGGGGTGGTGGTGAGGCCTTTCAGGAGGCTAGTCGTCTTGGAGCTATTGTGTTTGACAAGACGGGAACGTTAACCGAAGGAGGAACGCTACGAGTGTCTGATCATGAAGTGTTTGTCAGTGACCAGGAGCAGCAGCAGGTCGCCTGGAAATTGGCGCAGGTTTTGGAGGAGAGCAGTACACATCCGATTGCCAGAGCGATATCCAGTTTCTGTGCAGAGAAATCTTCTATATCTCTCATTTCGTCGACAATTACCGAGATCCCCGGTCAAGGCATGAAGGGAAAGTTCTCAATGGAGGTAAAAAGTTCAAGCTCTGTTGAACAGTTTGTAGGAATTGAATACGAAGCAGCGATTGGAAGCCAGCGACTACTCGAAACTCTCCTCAGCGAAGAGGAGGCTGATCTCTATTTCCTGTCCAACACGCTCACAAAATATCAGTCTGAGGGAAAGTCCACCGCCATCCTTTCCATCCGCAAAATATCAGATACCTCCTCCACATTTACCCCTGCCATCGTCTTCGCGACATCCGACCCAATACGAGCAGAAGCAGCAAATGTGATTTCTAGCCTCCAGTCGAAGAACATCGAAGTTTTCATGTGCAGTGGAGATAACTCAATGACAGCAAATGCCGTGGCCTCTGCAATTGGCATACCGGCATCGAACGTCATGGCTAACGTCCTCCCACAGCAAAAGGCAGAATATATCCGTCAAATACAGGATGCAAAACTTTACAATGCCGACGCCACCAACAATAGCAAAAGGACTAAACAGAAACGCATAGTCG